CTTCACAACAGCTGCAAACTGGGAGTAATCCAGTGCCCATCGGTGAAAAAATACATTACATGGGTGCATGACAATTGATACAAGGACAGGGCTGATAGATGACACACAATGACACAGATACACAGAGACTTCACTGATAGGATCTAGTGAGAGAAATCAGACTGGTGGCCTCTTGGGGGCTGGCTACAAAGGACATGAATTGCTCTGGGGCCAAGGAAGGGTCTTGTCCTGGCAGGGCGGGAGGTGTGCACTGTCTGCCGGAAGTTGCATTCATCTCATGCAGAAGTGAGTTAAAGTAACAGGCTGGAAGCTGAATACCCCGTCAGAAGACAGCTGGGAAGGCCCATGTTCCTGCCAGGAAGCATTCGATTCAAAGCAAGGGGCTGTCACATGACAGAAGGGGCAGCCCCTCAGGAGGATGTGACAGTCCTAAGTGCATGTGAAGCAGAAAAGAACAGAACGGGAAGGGGGAGGAACAGGTCCAGGACAGTTCTCCAGGGACATCAATGTCCCTCAGGAATCCATAGGGGAAAAAAAAAAGCAGACAGAAAATCAACAAGGGCAGAGAGCACTACTGACCCCTGGCTGGACCTGGACATTTCTAGAAGATTCCCCCAAACAGCAGAAAACATGCTCATTCTTTTTTGACACTGGCCCAAGACAGACCGTGTGCGGGGCCTGAAAACAAGTATGAGAAATTCGAAAGGGCTGATCAAACAGGATATTTCTCTGACTACCAAAGAACTGAATCAGAAACCAATAGTAAAGGCAGGAAAATCTGACCAAAGACATAGGCATGTTTCAGAAGGACAGCTGTGTAAGGTAAATACGTAAGATGCACACCTTCGCAGCAGTAACAGCGACTCAAGCTGCAGTGAGAGAACCGTGTCCCACCAGACCGGCAAAATTTAAGACCTTTTGATAGGGATGGAGTGACTGGTAGAAGGAGGTCAAGGCCCCTTTGGAAAATGGTTCGTCAACAGCTGATGGAGTTGACCATAGGACACCTTCTACCTCTGAGCCATCTGCCCCTGGATCTGTGTCCAATAGGAAGCCATGGGTACAGACTCCAAGACCTGTTCACAGCAGCTGGGGCAGGCCAGACACTGGTCCCCAGGAGCACGGATGGGTAAAGGATTTGTGTGAGCACACGCAAATCATGACTGCATGTAGTGATGGATGAAGCCCCAACAGGCTGAGGGAAGGAAGCCAGGCACAGAAGTGTGCCCCACAGGATGGATTCAACCTGCCAGCCCATGGAGAGAGGTGACCTCTGGGAAGGGAATCCCTGGGTGCTGGTAACATGGCAGGTCCTATCTACTACAGTGGTGTCTTGATGAGTCATGCACCTTCTGTGTGTGTGTGTCACCCCGCCAGGCAGGCAAATAGCAAGAAATGTCAGCCAGGATTAGGGTAGTGGGAGTTCCTGTCTGTGGACGGTGGAAGTGTAAATGGTACACGCGTGTGGAAAGCTTTTTTGCATTATCTTCTAAATCCCAATACAAACTCTGCAGCTAAACAATTCCACCACTGGGTATTATGCCCTGAGCAATGCGCTTCCAACTGTGGGTGCAGAAATCAGTTTGGAAGGTTGCAACCAGCATTCTTCTACACTTTGAAATAGAAGAGACTAGAATAAAGCAAGCCAGAGCCCAGAGATATTCTCACGTTGCTATGGTCCAAGTTTGTGTGCCATTGTGGGCATATACCAGGGGCCAACGAAGTGCTTCCAGAGGAGGCCAGGCAGGAAGAGGCCTGCTTTGTGGGCCACTGCTCTGTTCTGCTGTGGAGGGAAACCAGCCGTGCAAAGCTGGTGGACATGTGAGTAGCTGTGTGTCAACAGAACTCAATTCATGTGGGTGGCACTGGACGTGTGATACCAGAGGTGGTCTAGGACATTCAGCACTGGGCTTCAGGACATTTCTGGTGGAAAAGCACAAGTGTCCAGGAGCTGCGGGGAACAGTGAAGCTACCTCGTACCCTGGGGAGAAACCACCCACACTGGATGGACTGCAGGGCTTGGCACCACGGTCTTAGTTTACAGGGTGCTAAGGGCTGCTTGAGAGGCTGATCTCATGACAGGCCACCATGGGGGTGGGGAAGAGCGAAGTAGCAGGCCCCTCAGGAGGTGGGAAGGGTGAGGGAAGACTGAGGCTGCAGCCTGCATAGCATCGGGGGTTTCTGTGGGGAAGGCCAGGTCGCAAGGAAAGCAGTGTGTGAGTGACCAGTCTGCAGAGATGCCCCGAATTGCCTCGTAGGTGGCCTGGGTTGATTCAGGGAAGGGAAATATTGGCCTGGTGTGAGTTTGGCGAGGAGGTAGATGTGGCTGCAAATTGCCTACTGGCCATGGAGACATGTACGAGCAAGCTGGGAGGGGCAGCTAAGCTCTGAAAAGCCCCCACAAGACAGCACACCATACAGAAAACAAAGGAAGGCGATTAATACAGAAATGAAGCACATGCTTACACGGAGGCACACACCTACACTTGATTCACAACTGAAAACTGACAACAAAGCGCATTTACAGCTGATGGACAAGCACTGAGACTTGGTTTATTCAGACAGAACACTGCTCAGAACCGACAAGCACAGACAGCAATGAGCCTCTGCACGGCCACACGGAGTCAAAGAGCCAGACATCAAAGGCTCCAGTGCCCAGTCCTCGGCCTACAGCACCCACCCGTCAGCACAGTCAGCCTCCAGGTCACGGTCTGAGCTGCCGGTGCCCATGGGAGGGGCTGGGACAAGACGGCGGGAGCTTTCAGGGGATGATGACTGAGCATCAGAGGGTCTGACCCTGTTTCTGAAAACTCAGTGGCCCAGAGTCCTCAGATCGTGCATTTGTCACAATTACATTTCACCTAGACCCACAACTCAGCACTGGAGGCAAGCATGCAAGCAGCCCCTTTGCTTTCCTTCGCTGTATTCTCTAGATGACGGGAGGCTGACCTGGCAGGAGTGTCCCAGCCATTTGCCTCTCCTGACCCAGAAAAGAACATCACAGCTCCACGGCTGTCCGCACATCTGGCCACTGGATCTGCTTATGCAATGCAGATCTCACAGTGCTCACATCTGAAGCCAGCGTCCCCCACCCCCACCCCGCCCCTGGTTGCTGGCATCAAATCCCCCACCTGGGTGTCTCCCAACATCCTGGGACTCTGGGTGAGGATGGGGGATGGGGTAGTAGTGACCCAGATGGCCTGTGGGAGCCAGTGCAAAGCAAGGCGGGGCAGGCGGGGTCCTCTGTGCCTAAAGGAGGCTGGGGACATCCAGGGTTTGGCACCTCCCCCTCCACATCCACTCACGGGAATGAGAACTCCAGGCTTCCAACTCAGGGCCCTCCTTTCACTGGCACCCATAGCCCCAGTTTTAGAGGCAGGTTTGTCACAGGTGGGTGGGTGTGGGCGATGCTGGCCCTCTTTGTTCTGATACCACCATCCAGTTGGAAAACAGCAAGTTGTACCACGGCAGCAGCTGCACCTACTGGGACTTGGTGTGTGTTGGCTCCAGACTTCACTAATTGTTCTTCTACTCCAAGCATCACCTGCTCCAGGATCTGACCAGGGGGAACTCAGCTGCAGGACCCAGGGACAAGATGGCTGAGGGTGTGGGGCTCACCCCTGCCAAGACCACCCCTGGCTGGAGGGGATTGTGAAGAGGCAGGACTAGGACCAAACACAGGAACTATCTCTGGGCATCTTCTCCAACCCAGATATCACTCCTTACCCCTCCCAGGGGCTGGGGCTGTGCTGTCCCGTCCCTGCCTCCTCTGGGCACCTGGAATCTCAGAGTTGGGAGCAGCAGGTGTTATACTGGCCCCTGTCCCACCAACAGGGCTTCCAGGGAGTACCTGATGCTATCTGGGGGGAGCAACACCTCAGGTCTTCCTCTCCGGGCAAGGCAGACAGCTGGGTGACACTCCTTGGTTTGTGATCGCTAGAGGATGAGTCAGATGGCACTGGCCTGCCTGGACGCTCTAGAGTGTCCCACCCCACAACATGTCTTAGGCTTCCCACCGTCCCTGTTGGCCCGGACGGTGCAGGTCTTTGGGGTGAGTTGTACTCAGGAGCACTGTGGCCTCACATGGTGACCAGGACAGGAAGTCCTTCTTCAAGTCTATTGGGCTGTACACAGAGACAGAAACCCACAGTGGTGTCTGGGAAGAGCCCAAGGGCTGGAGAACCATGCCTGGGCATTACTCAGGTCCCACATGGTCCTAGGAAATACCAAAATACAAGTGCCCTCAGGAGTCTGGGGTCACTGGTCCTCTGGGAATCACTTGCCACAGAGCTCCAGTGACCCTGGACTCCTGGTGACTTGCCTTGTCTTCCTGGGACCAAGGTCTCAAGTGGGGGCCTACCCCGATCCTCCTGCAAGTGGGACCTGTCTCTGTATAGCCCTGCAGCACAGAACTTGGGTTCTCACTAACTCACCCCAAGCTACACAAAGTAGAACCTGCCTGGACCAGGGCTGGGCCAGTGAGAATAAAGTTAGTTGTCCCCTGATGGCTCAGAGAGCAGTCAGCCTGGTGTCCGCGCATGTTCTAGGGGAGAGCAGTGAAGCCAGCCAGGTGCGGGTGGGGGCTGCCCTGGACTGCTGGATCTCACAGGGACAAGGGACATGGAGGACTGAAACAGGACAAAGCCCTGTGGCCTGTGGGACCACCGCCTGGCTGTCTGCTGAGATAAGGATGAGTGTTGCTCTTCTAGGTCAGGAGGCTGACATGTCACCTTCTCCGGATGAACTTCAGTGGGGAACTTTAATCCGTGTGACTCTACCCTGAGGATGGACCATGCCCATGTATGTTCCGGCCCCTCAGTTGGCTGTCCCTGGGGCAGCCTGACCACCGACTTGCAGCTCCAGGAGGCAGTGTCTCTTTCCAAGGTGTTTCATGACAGGTTCAGAAAATGGGGGACAACTGGCAGGTGGTGTGGCCCCACAGAGCCCTGGGGACCAGGGGTGTGCAAGCCCAGCCCCCGCTGCATCCTGCAGGTGCCTGGGCCATGCTGGCTCTGTCCCTAGATCATGCCGGCCAGCCAGGGTGGCAGGAAGAGGCCCACGGTGCCCAGCAGGCAGACAATGACGAAGACCCAGAGGAAAATACGGTCGATGACCATGGCCATGTACTTCCAGTCCTCCTTCACCTGCAAACACAGACACGAGGTCACTCCAGCCTCACCCTTGGCCTTGCAGGCAGGAAGAGAACCTTCTGGAACTTGGCGTTGTGTTCCCATCAGGCACACACGCCTGCACACATGCCTGTGGGAGGTGACAAATAGGGGAGGAGCACATGGCAGTGACCCAGAAGCTACTGCAGGGACTGGGCATTAAGTTCCATGTGGAACAGCCTGGGCCTCTCTGAAGCCCAAATCTAAGATGCCCGTGAGTGGAATCCTGACGTCGGACAGCAGAGCTCCCTGCCACCTGCACCACCACAGGAGGCCAGGGGATCACATGGTGTCCCCAGCTGCCCTCACTGCCCAGAAGGCTGCACGCACTCGAAGGAGGCAGACACAGCACTTGCAAGAACGGGGTTGGATGGCTTTGTGATGAAACTCAATTTGCTAAAGTGGGAGCACCAAAGAGGCCTAGTCCACCTCCTCATGTGCAGATGTCAAAAGCTGCTGACCAGAATCCCTGGCCTAGGAGCATGCTGGGTACTGGGGCCCATCGCTAAGGAGAAACCCCCCCAACCCCAGCTCCCCAGTGGACAAGGTCTCACAAGCAAGGGCAGAGGCCTGACTGTCCATACTTGCTCTCCTGCCCCCAGCAGGCGCTCACAGGCCAGCACAGGCTCTGGGCAGGAACAGCGTTGCCAGGAGCCAGGGACAGAGAGTGGATGGTGGCGGTCAGAATTATGAAGCATAGTCTACCATCTGTGGTCAGTCAGCCCTTGCTTGGACTGTCCCACGACATAAGGGGACACTGAGGCGCCAGTGGCCAAGGGATCCATCTACCCAGTTCCTCTGTGGACCCCACAGAATGGACCCCAGCCCAGGCTCCTGCCCCTCCTAGGACTAGTGCAGGATGGCTACTTCCCAGGGTGCCTCCCAGGAGAAAGGCTTAGGAGGGCTGCTAGGCCCAGAGCTAGAGCATTCTGGAGCCTGCCCCTGCCCACAGCCCTCGCCTTGCTCCTTGGGCAGGCTGGCCACCATTCACACTGCTGCCCTGACCCACTCCACTGTCCTGCAGTGTGCATGGTCTCTTGTCCTAAAGGGCCTGGATAACCACTTGGCTTCATCAGAGCTGCCTTTTGAATGGACCATGAGCAGGTGCCCTGGCCCAGCTGGGCTGAAGACATGTGAGTGGCTGGAAGAGGAAGTGGCTGGCAGGGCTCAAGTCAGTTGAGGGACAAGCAGGCCTAGGAGACCTGGGCCAGGGGTAGGGTTTAGCTGCCCCGATCTGTCCTGATTTTTCAAGATAATCACAGGTTTTAAAACAAGCCTAAATGGGTGTTTACTTACAGAAAACCTCAGAACTAATGGGGTCACTTCTAAATAAAGAGCCCCTCCCAGGAACGGCAAGCAGCAGGCAGCCCCTTCTCCCTTCTGTGCCTGGGGCTCCAGCCCATCTCAGAGATGAAAAGCAAAACCCCCTGCAGGCTCCAGTTCTGTCCCTGTGAAGTCATCTTGCTTCCCAGCAGCCATAGCAGATCAGTGGCAGCAGAGGACTCTGTGCTGAGAATGTCCTGCTTTTGTGAGGACTTTGCCTAACCTTTTTTTTTGGAATACAGGGGTTTGAACTCAGCACCTCCTGCTTGCTAGGCAGACACTCTACCACTTGAGCCATAACCTCAGTTCATATTTTGCTTTAGTTATTTTTCAGGTAGGGTCTTGGTTTTTTGCCCAGGGCTGGCCTCAGACCTCAATCCTCCTATGTATAGCCTCTCTCATAACTGGGATCACAGATGGGAACCACTATACCTGGTTTGTTGGTTGAGATGGAATCTTGCTAACTTTTTGCTCAAGCGGACCTTCAACCTTGATCCTTTCCATCTCTGCCTCCTAAGTAGCCAGGATTGCAAGTGTGACCCACTACACCTCGCTGGTTTGAATTATACTTCCAATGGCATCTCTCGTTCCTCAGTGACCTGCTCCCTTACATCACAAGTTGGGAGCCATTTTTGTTTCCAGAGCTGCAGCAAGACATGGTCCCAGAATCAGCTTCTCCCCAGGAGGTCTCTGTGACCCAAAAGTTTCTGGAGACCCACAGAATGGCTTTGTAGCCATGGGACTCAGTGGGGGTGACTCTGAGGGGCAGTGATACACTGCTTGGATTATGGGACACCAGCCCCCTGTTTCTCTAGGGCTGACTTACCCCCAGGAGGCTTATGTCAGGAGGGCTGAAGCTAGACACATGGGGAAGGAAGGCGAGGAAGAGCAAATGAGGGTCCCCAAGAGGAACAACACTTCCAAGGATGGAGGTAGGTGCCCAGTGAGGACAAGACCAATGTGAAGGACAAATGCCAAGTGGACAGCAATGTCAGCTATAACAGGCTGACACAGCCGAGGGTCCAGGCTGGGCTAGACTGGACCTCCCCTGCCCATTCCTCCCCATCTATGCTGACTGGGGCTCATTTGGATCACCTCACAGGCCCCAGGGATCCTGGGTCTCAGCTTTGTCTGAGCTAAGAACCTGGGCCTGGAGTCCCCCTACCTGTGCCAAGCAGACAAACACAGAAGGAAAGAGGAACAATGACCAGAACTGGGCCCAGCACCTGCCAGAACCCTAGCTGTGTGTAAAAGTGCAGGAGCTGCTTTGGTTCAGGAGCTGACATTTGCAGAGGCACACAGCCATTCCTCGGACCGCTGTCCAATTGACACTTGGAGCATGAAGGGTGGGTGGGGGTAGACCAACCCAGGACCCACTCTCTAAGGTCCCCAGGCCCCTGAGGACCTTGCATCTGGGTAGTGTTCTGCCCCCTCCCCATGACTCTCTGTATGGCTGTGTCTCAGACCCCAACTCTCTTTCTTCCTGAGAGTCCTGACAATCTTCTCTTGGCCCCTCTCACCCATCCTGGGGCCCAGACACCTGCCCCTCTTCAGGTAGGAGGGGTGTGTGGAGGGCTGTGCTCAGGGCTACAGGTCAGAGTCAGCAGCAACTTTGCTGTGTTTTGGGGAAGGCGAGTGTAAGCCCCTGCCCATCACCCAGGCATGGCTGAGCAGTACCTCCCAGTGGCCAGCAACAGTCCAGAGATGCCACAAGGAAGACATCATGGGTGCTGGAGGGACAGTGCTAACTGCCTGCCCGCACCATGTGTGCCCGTCAGGGCTCAGAAGTCCCGATGCCTGAAGGGGCAGCACCTCAAGCTACCGTCTACCATCTACTCTGGGTCACCTGCCCTGCTTTACCACAGCTCAGCCCAGGCTGCTGAGCAAAAGCCACGCTACGTGTCCCAAAGGTGAGCAGCCACAGCCCGGGGCCGGGGTTTCTGGATCAGGTGCTGGAAACAGAAGGCATGTGCTGGTTTCACTAGGGCCAGGGGCACCTCCTCGACACAGCTACGGACAGGGACTTACCGAGAAATCGGTGTCTTCTGCCTTCAGGTGGTCTGCAATGTACTGGACACCCTCGACTGCCCGCGTCAAGGCCGGTGACAGGGGCAGGTGCCGGGGCGGTGCTTTGGTACCTCGGGCCTCGAGCACAGTGGTGACTGGGGACACGGGGGATGGCTCCTTGCACGTGCATTTGCATGGAGAGGGCTGGTCTGGGGGTGGGACCTTGGCCAAACTGGCTTTCAGGGAAGCGGGGGAGCCAGCTGGGTGGCTGTCAGCCAGGGAGGCAGGGCTATCTCGGGGAACAGAGTACTGGATACTCCGAGACCGGCACCGGACACCACCCTCAGCTGCCTTACAGGGGCTGGACATGTGCTGGACACTCAGAGACCTAGCTTTGGCGAGCCCCAGGGCTTCAGTGCTGTTGGGTGGGTCGCAGGGACCAGGCGAGTGGCACGGGCTGGCCTTCTTGGCCTCTGGGGTCTGCACAGCAGGGACCTGATCAGAGGGTGACTTGCAGGGAGGCTGGGACTCAACCGGTGTGTCCAGGGGGACACAGAAGGATGGGGTGGGTGACAGGCCTCGGCTGTGGGCATCACTCAGGACGTTGGGCTCCCCCTCTGGCTCAGGCCAGAAGTGTGGGGCGTTGACCATCTTGTGCATGGACTCGATGAGCCGCCGGCAGTTGTCCTTGACCACAGATGGCCGCTTCATGAACAGCAGGCGTGGCACGATGTCCAGGAAGACCCTGTGCACCCAGGCGGGCATGGTGTGCGTGCGCGGCGAGCGGTGGTGCACGTTGAGCACGAAGACGGTGATGATGATGGAGAGCGTGACGAAGATCATGGTGAAGAGCAGGTACTCGCCGATGAGCGGGATGACCAGTGACGTGGACGGGATGATCTCGGTGATGAGCAGCAGGAAGACGGTGAGCGAGAGCAGCACCGAGATGCACAGCGTGATCTTCTCGCCACACTCGGAGGGCAGGTAGAAGACCAGCACGGTGAGGCAGGAGATGAGCAGGCACGGGATGATGAGGTTGATGGTGTAGAAGAGCGGTAGCCGACGGATAATGAAGGCATAGGTGATGTCGGGATACACCTCAGCACAGCATTCATACTTCCTGGTGTTGTAGGTGCCCACGGCGTCCACGATGACCCACTCCCCGCTCTCCCAGAAATCCAGCTGGTCCACACGCCTGTGCATACTCACCAGGTCAATCTTGGCCTTGTCGTACGTCCAGGATCCAAACTTCATGGTGCAGTTCTGCTGGTCGAAGGGGAAGAAGGTGACATCGATGCTGCAGGAGCTCTTATAGATGGCTGGGGGGGTCCACTGCACCCGCCCGTCATGGAAGAGGTGGGCCTTGGTCAAGTGGGTGACTGCGAAGTCTCCATCCGCACTAGGCAGGAAGAGGGAGAAGGAGCGGGGTGAGGCCCACACAGACCTGTGCTTCGACACCCCCATGCCTGCATATGGCATGTTCCCGCACAGCAGGTCTCACAGCCTCACCTGGGGACTCCGCCAGCCACCACAGAGCACAGGGTTCTGTGGGGTGTGACACATGGCCCTGGGCCCTCATCCACCTTTGTGTCTTGGCTTATCACCCAAGTGCAGATGGCACGTGGTTTAGAGAACACGGGAGGGACGAGCCGCGCCCAGCTCAGTGTGAGGAGCAGCATTCATTACTGCTGGTGGTTATTGTGTGCGGGGCCAGTCTCCAGCTCCACTGCCTCCAAACACCTGCACCTCAGGGCAAAGCAGGCACTGGGACACCATGGTGCCTTTGCTGCGTGAGGCAACAGAGGAACTTCTCATCCTGGCTTCCCATGGCCACTGCCTAAGCATTGTGAGCACGGAAGGGACATACGAACCCTTATCTTCCTCAGTCCTGGAGTTGGAACTGGCCCTACAGTGCACTAGCAGGCAGCCTGGAGGTCCCTGAAGGATAGATGGCCCCTGTGTGGAGTGTGTGTCCATGAGGACAGAGCAAGTGGGCCTATGTCCCACTGTTCCTGAAGGATGGGCACTGCTGGACCCATCTCCCTCTGTTCCTGGGAGCAGGAGTGCCCATCCTCCAGGAGCAGAGGGGGCTGGCCCATGCACTTTTGTTCCCTGGTGGAGGTCAAGGAGGTCCTGGTCTAAACAGCTGCTCCTCTGGCCCCTCCTAGGAAGTACAGTCTTGCTGGAGGTCAGTGGGCTTCTCTGCTCACCTTGTCCACACTGGGGTCCACAGACTGAAAATGGCAGAATGCAGGGCTGTACAAGGGACCTCCCAGTGCCACTGCCTCACCCCCTGCTGGGCTGGGCACAAACTCAGAGTGGGGCCTCAGCTGCTACCTTCTGTCACTGGTGGCCCAGTAGGCAGGGACATGAAGGCCACCTCCCTGCAGGCAAGGATGAGGATGCTTGCTGCAGGCCCAGCAGCAAGGATGGTGGCTGCACCACTGGGCAGGACACATGGGCAGGACACGACCTTGAGTTGTCTGATTCCAGGGCCAGTATCTGACCATTGACCTCCTGCTTCTCCCTCTGCTTCAGGAGATGTTGGTGTCCTGGGCAACAGAGCAAGGGACTACTATCCCTTGGGCCCTCTTCCTAGTGGCAGAGCTGCAGGGTCTCAGCCTTGGGCCTCCCAAACAGCGACATTATGCCTCAATCTGTCCATGGTGGGAATTCAATGACACCCGTAGGCTTTTCTCGGCCCCTGGTTATCAGCCCCACTGGATTCCCGGCTCTCCCCCTAGAGCTAGAAGTGCCCAGCCCCACCCCGTGTGTCCTGTGGAACCTGGGCTGCAGTATGCTACTCTCTCACCTCAGTTTCCCCACAAGGCCCAGGATGAACCCCCTGACTGTGGGGTAGTGTCCCCAGACACCAGAAGCAGCAGCCAAAACCCCAGCCCCTCTGGGAAGGCTCTGCCAACTTGGCTCAGAAACGATGATGGGAAGCCTTGTTCCAAAGCTAATGAGCTCTCTGAACCCAATTACATCCCCTGCTAACGGCGCCATCGTGCAACACAATGGTCTCAGCACCAGAGGACAGCACAGCCCTGAGTCATGGGCTCTGGCGCCTTCTGTTTGCTCAGTCCCCAGGACCCTTGATCCATTCCTTTACCAGCCTCCATCTCCCACCAGGGCCTCTCAAGGTCCTTGGGCAGAAGGGGCCCTGCTCCTCTAGGTTTCATCTGCCAGTGGACCCAGCACTCCTGGCCACAACCCGTTAGATCCTGTCCAGTCGCGGTGCCATGGCTGCTAGCCGGGGCCCTCAGGAACCTCCCCTCACTTGCCAGCCCTATTCCTGGAGCACCACCCACAGGCTGCAGAGACCTCAGCCCCCATGATCTCAGTTGGTACCAAGCCCGGTCCTCTGCTGGTTAACTTGTCTTGGGCTAGCGCAACTGGCTGTCTCTCCAGGGGCTGCACTGCATATGGAAGGAGAAACCGCAGAAGCTGCACCTTACAAGCATCCCAATGAGGTCCTGGCCTGGCACAGCCTGGCTCTGGCTTCCGCAGAAGCCGAGGTCCCTCCGGGTGTGCGGGGGCGGATCTTGCAGTACATTTCAGTAGTGTGGAACTCGGCTCTGGTTTTTGCTTCCCTCTCCCAGACCCATCTTTCCAAAAATCAAAGCCTAGCCCCTTTGAGGCACAAATTAAAATTCTCACATGCAAGTGAGCGAATCCCTCACTCAGAGAACCTTCTGTAGGGAGGACATGAGTGGCTAAACTAACTAGCAGTGTGTCCTCAGATATGCAGGGGCTCTTCCAGGGCTCACTCACAGTAGTGACGCCCTTCCACAGCCCCAGCTGCTGGATCTGGGATTCTCACCCTCCTTCTGCCTGGGTCTGCGATGTCCTCGAGTGCTCTCCCTGAGGAACTCCTCCCTCCACCTCCCCAACGAAGGGCAGCAGTGCAGGCCCATCTCCTTCCACCTGACTTTGGACATGCGTTTCCACAAGACACGCCTGGGAGGCTCCAGTTGCAGAAGCAGTGATGGTGGAGCCCACAGGGCTAAATGCACACATAGCACAGTGGTTCTGGCTACTTTCTTCTTCCTACAGGATCTAGAGAAATGTCCCTGGAAGACTGCTAACACTATTCTCGGGACTTGGAACAAGGAGTCAAGCATAGACCAGGACTGAGCATTAGCACTGCACAGGCTGGCTGTGAGGGGAGCAGAGGGAGTGCCCCCTACAGCTTCTGGACCCACACACCACCCCAAGGAAGCTGGAGTTGAATGGATGCTTGGGCTGAACCATCCAACAGGACCCCATTCTGAGCTCATGCAATGTGTGTTTGGGGGAGGCCCTGTGTCTTGCCCCAAGCCCCACTTGACCCTGCATTCCACAGGTGAGGGAGACCCTCTTTCTGCCTGCCTGGGGACTCCTGGGCTCCAATCTTGAGGAAGCTCCAAGGGCACAGTGGGGGCCCCAGCCAAGGGAGTCCCCAAGACAACAGAAGACCTGGGGCCTCCCCCTATATAGCAGCGTGACTGATCACCTGGCTAGCAGCTGCTGGTCACCCCTGGAAACAGGCCTCTTTAGTGTCTGTGGTCAGACCTCAACATCAGTGTCAGGGTCCTTTCTCCCTCACAGTCCAAGGCCCTGTCTAGACAGAGTCTCAAGCACTAGCCTCAGCCTGCAGAGAAGCAGGATCCACTACTCCCACAGGTCCCAGCAGGGAGGAGAGACAAAAGTGACAAGGCAAGGTGACTCCGTGAGCTCCATCCCTGGGGATTTGGTTCCTGGCGCTGTTTATAAGTTCCCAGACCTGCCTGGCCCAATTCCCTCCCCCTACCCCCATCTCCAGGGAGTTTGTGTCCTTCCTGGATTGCAAATGTCCTCACGGGTTAAATAAGTATAGGATCCCAGGGGTGAATGATGGACAAATTGAGTTTGGGCCCCCAAAGGGCCAGGTGACTGAGAAAATTTCCAGGGCTCCAGGCTCAGACTGGATGATTGTGGAAAGCAGAGGATTTCCAGGATGGGAGACACTGACCACATGCCTTCTCACCCCACCAACCTTAATGCGTCCTGGAAAAACCAACTGCAACCCCTTCCACAGCGAGCCTGCAACCATCACTGCATTACTGCCTTCAATTAAGTAGGAAGGGGAACACAATCATTCTTACTCAAATAGGGATGTTTGTAGGTCAGGCAGACACCCCAGGGTCTGAAAGGGGCTGTGGGCAGATGGCTGGGCCCAGGGGGTGGAGGGGCTTCCATTTGCTTTAGTTGAAAGCAATGCAGGAACCACTGCCTGCTCAGGTCCTAAGTGCAACTGCAGAATCGGTGCTGGGATTCAGCTCAGAGAGTGGGCTGCTCCTGGTTCAGCACCCCAGCAAGAGTCTATTTGAAGGACAAGTGTGAGAACCCCAGTCCTCTGGAGGCCAACCCCTGATGCAGTCCACTCCTGGAAATGCCAGCCAGTTCCCTAGCATGGCAAGCTGTCTCCATGACCAGACTCCAGCTCAGCCCCCAGGAGCCTTATGACAGGCTGTGTACTCAGGGCAGAGGGGCAAGGCTTGCTAACTGGCACAATGCCCCAGGGGCACAGCCACAGGGGCGGGATTGAGAAGGGCAGAGGCAGTGCCCATGGGCAGCTGTCCCCTGCCTCCTCCTCCTCCCTGTGGCCTGCAGGGTGCTCCTGAAGGTGAAGTGCATATGGCCGGGTAGAGCACTGGTTGTGGAAATGACTGCAGCCTGGACAAAGTGGCTCCAGGGCGTGCGGTCATCACCAAGGCAGAGGTTTGACCCATTCCCTGTCCTTGGAGGCAAACAGAAGGAACCAGGGGGAGGTCCCCAGGGTCAGGACGGGCAGGACCAGTGCCCCAGAGTGGCTAGCGGCCACTCTTGATGCTCGGACCTCAGTGTCTGGAGTGCTCTCAGACTCGATGCAGGCCTGCATCCTCCTCGCTGGGCTCAGGCCCAGCCCCAGCCCCCAGGGTCCCAGGGGCTCACTTGTTATAGAGGACAATGTCTGGCCTCCAGATGAGCTCGGAGGGGATGCGGATGGAGGTGACATTCTCGTAGTCTCTGGGGTCCCAGCGCAGCTTATAGTCATGCCACTCCTGGATAGGGACAAGAAGTGGTCGTGAGGGGATGCGAGCTGCGGGACTGGGTGGGGAGGCCCCTTCCCACTCACCTGCTTCACCCATACATTCGTTGTCATCATCTGGTTCTTTTCATCCTAGGACATAAGCAAGAAGAGGACTCAAGATTTGTCCTTGGTGACAGGATCCCCCCACCCCGTCTCCCTCTCTGACCCTGAGTCTCCTTATCTACAGCCAAACTCCTCAGAAGGGAGTGAGCACCTCATTCCTGGAGACTTCCTGGCCCAGGGTGGCAGCCTGTGGTATCTTAGGAACAGAGACAAGGGCCCTGGAACCTTCCTAGAAGGAAACTGGTGACAAGATTTGGCTGATGTTACACACACCTGCTCCACTCCAGCTCGGGCTCTTGGCTGCCTGTAGGTTCAGCCTCCTTCCCAGACACCTGATGGCCCCCCCCACCTGTACTGCTTCCTTTCTGCTCCCAGCAGATGAGCCCCAAGAGCATGCACTCCAAGCAACCACCACAGTCACCCTGGTGTGAGTGGGTCCCATCTGCTGGCCTGGGCAGCCATGACTAAACTATTACAGGCCCAGGGAGGGTGGAATCAAGAGGCCCTGGCTGGTTTGACCCAAGGTCACTGTGTGGCCACCAGTCCAGCCAAGGAGTGGACCACATGCCCTCTGAGGTCCTGTAGCTACTATCCTGACTCACCCTCCCTCTCTTTTGCCTTGATTTCCCCTTTGTCACATTCCTGATGAGGAGGAACAGACTTGAGACCTGTGCTCTGGGGACAGTCAGATCCTAGGAGGAGTTGGGACCTTCTGGAGAAAGTGAGGGTGCAGGGATCTGTGGGAACAGGAAGGGCCCGGGATCCTTACAGTCCTGTGGGTGCTGAATGACCACCCAGGCGGCCTAACCACACCATGCCCGCTTGGCATCCAGCAGGGGCCTGTGGACTACCCAGCCATGATCTGGAGGAGCAGCACTGGACTCGCTTGGAGAGCAGAGGGGTCTGGCCTGGGGCACTCGGCACTGGGCAGTGTCCTGAGTGAGGAGGCCCCTCCCACCTCTGATGGCCAGCTTCCCCTCTTCAGCCCCAGAACAGGGCAAACAGGGGTCCAGTGAGAGCCACTTTAGCTCCTGACCCCTGGAGGGAAGATACCTTGCCTAAAATGGGGAGGGTGTTTGGGTCCTAAGGAAGCATCACTGGCTGGTCCGGGGGCGGGCCACACCCCCTGGGCACCCAGGCTCAGTCCTGGGTTCCCTCCAGCAGAGCTGGTCACCCAGCTGCCTGAGCAAGTTCCTTCACTGGCAGGATGCCGAGTGGGTCCAATGTGGAGCAGAACACATAGCCCTCTGCCTGGCCTCAGTGCACCTGCTACCCTGTGCCGTCTTCACAACCCCATCACCTTACAACCTTGTCCTTGCACGACCTCATTGCATATCCAAGGTTACTGGGCATGGAATGCCTGCCCCACCCGTGGGAACTCCAAGGCCCTCCAAACAAGCCTTACGGTGGCTGGGCTGGGCCGTCTTGCCTTAGCATCCTGCCCAGCCCCCTTGCGTCACTCCCCAGGTGCCTTGGAGCCGGCACATGGGTCACTGTGCTCTCCAACACATTTCACAAGGACTCAGCATCTCTGGGGATTCCATAGCCTCTGTAGCCAGCGCCAGGTGTGCATCCTCACACATGGCAGCACCCTCCCTTCCAGGAGTCGAGGGGGCACAGGCGAACCGGACAACAGGGTGGGAATGCCTGGATCTCAGACCCTGGTGGGACATGTAGAATGGGCCAGACACAAGGCAGCCCCTTCCATCCCACCAGCATGGCCAGCAGCCTTAGGCCGGTGTTGAGGCTGTGTACATGTGGGTGCATATTCACTTGTATCCTTTGCCAGCTTCAAGGCAGAGGGCAGGGCCAGGAACTGAGTCCCTCATGGGAGCCTCGGTGCTGGGTGTTCTCTGGGCCTCAGGGTCTCCTGGGGAAACTGGGGTGCTGCAGCCAAGGAGCACCTGAGTAAGCAGGATGAGCTCTGGGGAGAGGCCAGGCAGTGGCAGCAGACCCAGAGCCTTAGCAGTCACCAATGACTGCTTCTGCCCACCACCACTTTGCAAATCTCAGCAGGTTGATGGAGCCTGTGCGTCTGGCACCGTCCTGTGGCTGGGCCTCAGCCAGGGACACTGTAGGAGCCATTCAAGAGCCAGTTCCAGGATACCTGAAGGCAGAGGTGTCAGTGACCATCTCTGAACAAGCCAAAGATCACCACGATTTCTGGGATGCTGCCTACAGCCTGAGATGGTGAGGCTGCTCTCAGCCCACGTCAGGTAAGCACACTAGGGTGGCCAAAGGTCCTCCAATATGCACAGTGCCAGCCTGGAACCAACTCCTCCCCTCACTGCAGACCCCAGGATAATCCTGGTAGGAGTGGGTGGGCCTTTGGCCCCTGGAGCAATGGTTCCTCCTCCCCAGATTCAGGCTCCATCCCTGGAAAGAGCTGGAACTAGTGTGCTGGGTCCCAGAATGGAAGCTTGAGTCTTTCCAACCAGATGGCCTGTGACCTCTCCTCTTGGCTACACCTCCTGGCCAATGTCCTCCAAGCCAGGCTGAATCCCATGCTCCAAGGCCCAGTATGATGGGCAGAGCCTTGGGTGCTGCTGAAACTCAGGGTAGGCTCCCCAGGCTGTGCACCTTTACCCAGCAGGACTCCCAAAGGACTCCACAGGGAGTAGCTGAGCCTGACCAGGAAATGATGGGTGTGTAACTGAATATCTCTGCTATGCACAAGGCCTGGGAGTGTGCTTTTCTGGGCTGTGACCTTGTCTCCAATTGCCCTCTGCACGCCAGGCTCCTCAGGCCACAGGGGCCTCTGGCTGGACCTTGTGTATCCTCACTGCAGCCTCTTCAGACCCCTACCAGGAAAGTAAATACACCCCAAGTGAAAAAGATTTGTCCAGACCCTACATTCCAGACCAGCAGATGCTCAGGGCTCCCAGGACCAGCTGGAGGCGGGGTGCCTCTGTGGCACTGCGGTGACCGCCCCTGCCCACTGAGGTACAACAAAAGCCCTGCAGACCAAATGCTCAAGATCAGGGCAGGGCCCTCCTCGACATTTTCTCTTCTTTGCTTCTAATAATGTCCAGTGGACGGCAGAAAATGTGGCCATCAGCTTTCCTGTGGGCAGGGGAGAGGGCGGCCTGACAGAACCAACCCCTCCTCCTCACAGCCAGGAATGAACACACACCTTTTGGGGTCCAGTGGGCCACAGCAGATGGCTAACGTTAGCCAGCAACCACAGGAGAACACGATCACCTGCATCTCAGGGTGGTGTCCTCTGCCTGTCCAGTAGCCCCCCTGCAGAGCCCTTGTGGGCAGGGTGACCCAGCTCTCACATGTGACAAGCCAAGCCGCCTCCACACTTACCACATCAATGAGCTGGGCAATGGATAGGCCAAAGCGGACGAGGACCACATCAGAGATGTTGGCCACTGGCCGGGACCATTTGTTGTAACCAGAAAACAGTCGCTTCAGGAGCCGCTCCTCTGCATGGGCCCGGGTCTCCACAATGCTGCAAGCTGCAGGGGAGGCAGGTGGGAGCACAGAGGCAGATAGAACTGGTGGCTGTGGGTGGCCGTGCAGGTTGTCCCCTCCAGCTTTGCGCCAGGTCCCCTTTCCTCCAGTTTCTCACACACATCACCTCCCTCCTCGGGATGCTTGCACGTGCCACTGCTGCAGTGGGGTGTGCTCTATCTTGCTCCCCACCTTGCACCCCCCCACACCCTGGTGTAAATATAACTTCCTCGGGGAAACCTTTCCAAACCCTATGGGCTGGGTCAGGCCTTCCTGCACCTCACCTCAAAACCAGACAAGTAACACCATAAACACCGATGTGGGTAAGTCTTCCCACAGTCAGTGACTTCAGAGGGAAGAGCTGTATGTATTTCCCAAGACCAGCAAAGACAAAGGACAAGGGTGACTACAGCAGAGGCAGAGCGGGGGAGATGTGGAAGGAGGGGGAGGATCCACCTGGCAGAGCCTGCTTCCTGTGAACTGCGGGAGTCCTGAGTTAGTGCTCAGAGGAGCGCGTCCATTGCCTGGGGCTTCCAGTGCCCACTCTGACAACAGATCTGGCACCCTCAGAGCCACAGGCGCCCTGAGGCTGGGTGTCCTGCAGGAGTCCCACTCTACCGCCTGGGGGGGGGGTTGTACATTCAGCCCAGCACCACCAGCCCCTCTGTGTCTCCCTCATCATCCCCCATAGGTCAAGGGCTTCCTTGCTTCTCCTGGCGGCTGCATCAAGGAAGGGGCTGACATGGGGGAGGATGGGGGAGGGGAGATCCTTGCTCTTGGCTGGGTCCTGCTCACCTGAGAGCCACAGATAGTACCTTAGGTCAGTCCTAGACCCAATACCCTTGGCTCCAGCTAAAGCCCTGTTTTTTCTGGTCCCTTTGGCCAGTAAGGTACAGCCTGCTCCTCACGGAGGAGGCCCAGGGTTAAATTCCCTGCAGGAAGCCCCTGAACCTAGTGGGGCACAAGGTGCACGCCCAGAGGGTGGGAGGTAGAGGGGGACTGGAGGAGCAAGAAAAGTGGGGTTGGGGCCTCCAAGGGCAGAGCCACCGCCAATCCCCGAAACCAGGAGCAGACAGGAAGGGTCTGTTGGGAAATTTAGCCGGTGGATGGGCCCCCCTAGATGGGCCCCGCCCCTAACCAAGTTGGAGGTTCTGGGTCCAGCTCTGGAAATTCAACCCGAACCCCTCAGATCCCCCCACCCAAACCTCTCTCCCGGTCCCGGGAGGTTGACTCCTTGCTCAGCCGCTCAGCCCGCCGCAGGAGGGTCCAAAGCAGGGAGTCTCCGTGGTCGCCCCGTTGCGCGTACCCGCGGCTTGGCACCGCAGCCCGGAGCCTCCCCTTCTCTGACTCTGGGGTCCCGAGCCCCGGATCCAGGCGAAAGGGTCCGGCTCAGCGCCTCGCAACTTACCGGGCAGAAGGCCGGTCCCCAGGAGCAGCAGGAGCAGCGGCAGCGACGGCGGCGGCGGCGCCCCGGGGCCCCGGAGCTCCATGGCGCACTGAGCGGGCTCCGGCTGCGGGCGGCTCCCGGCTCCGCCGCGCCCCCGCTCCGAGGCCCGCGCGCGCCCAACTTCACGGCCCGCGCCGCGGCCGCTCGTCCCCCGGCCCGGCTGGGCGGCTGGTCCCGCGGGGCGCGGTGGCGGCAGCGGCGGGGCGGGAGCGCGAGGCTGCGGGCTCCACAGCGCGGCCCCACCCGGACCTGCCGCCTCCAGCCGGCAGGAAGGGGGAGGGGAGGGGGAGGAGGGGACAGGGAGGGGAAGGGAGGGGGCGGACGGCGCGCGGAGGGGACGTGGAGGCCGCGCCTGGCAAACTTTCCTGGTCCTCTGTGGTCGAGGTGGGGACCCCGGGGGATCACTGCGTGCAGCTGGGGGTCCCAACGCTGGACCCCAACCCTCGTCAACCACTTGACCCCCACCACCAACAGCCTGAAGCTGGGGGCATCCATCTGCGTCCCGCACAGATCTGGCTAACTCCATCACTGCACCCCCGTTAGCGCGACTGTTCGCAGTTCAGAAATCACAAGGGTCTCCCAGCCCATCTCCTTTCGCATGGGAAAGAGCACGACCCATCAGCCTGCCGCCCCCCTTCCCCTTCCCGCCCTCCTCAATCCCAGGAAGCATCCTGGGGAACCCAGGCCTGGCCGCCTGCCCTTCTGGGGAGAGAGGACTTGAGATTGGATCTCAGGGTCCAATCTGCCCCGTCCCAGCCTTAAGGGCTTTGCCCCGCATCTCAGTCCAGGCAGCTCACAAAGGAGGGTCTCAGGTCAGGTGCTTGGAAAATAGTCCCAGGAGTCCCAGGAGGGCCTGGCTAGGGAGATGGTCCTGGTGCAAGGAAATCCATCCTCATGTGGGTAGCCAGGAGGCGCCCACAGAGTAGCAGGTGCTCCGTGGAGGGGCTTTATATGGCAGAAAGGCCTGGGCAGGGCCGGTTGTCCCTCCACCTGTCAAAAGAGGCCTTGCATCCAGGGATCCCCTGCATCCAGCACTGAAGCTAGGCAGGGCAGGAACGGCCCCTGCCCCTGTGGCTATTCCCAGGCCACAGCTGCTCTGTCCTTGGGACCTTAGACCTCCTACCCAACACAGCACAGCTCAGCACAGCTCAGCACAGCTCCTGCCCCTCCTAGTTCTGCTGCCCTACCCCTCATCTTCCTACTAACTGCTCGTCTGCCCCACCCCTGTGCCACTGCCCACCTCCCTCGATGGTCCTTTCCTGCTGCAGTGTTCTCAGGCTTCCTGCCTTCTGGGTTCTACTGCAAGCTTCATGCCACACACACCTGCTTTGGGTCTCTTGGCTCTTTGTGGGCAGGACCTGCAGTCAGATCTTCCAAACTGCTTGGCTCCTGGGCAGGGCCAGCTCAACAGTGACCACTGCTCTCCTGAGCCCTCCCAGGTGCTAAAAGCAATGTGGACATGTGGACTCACTGGACTTCCACAGCACCCCTGAAGGCAGGTTATGTCCTTATCTCTGCTTTATTCAAGAGGAAACAGGCATAGAGAGGTTAAGCAACTTCTTCAAGGTCACACAGCCAGTAGAGGGATTCTAATCCAGGCTATCTGACTTCAGAATCTGCACCCTGATCACCTGGACTCAGGTGGAGTGCGTCATAAGGGTGCTGCATGATTTGTCCTTCTGGAACCCTTCTCCCACCCCTAGCCAGACCTGGCTCTTTGGGCACCCACGAACCCTTCCATGAGCCAGGACAGTTTCTAAGCCTCGGAAGGCTTGGATTGGTCAGATTCTGCCCATGGCTGGCTGAGGAGCAAAGCAAGGAGCAAGCCTATACAGGGCCAGGTCCAGCTGACCCTTGGGGGATTTGGGGAGGGTGGCCAGGTTGGTGGCTCCTGCACCAAAACTGTTTTGGTGAGGCTCCCCTCTCTGTTCCAACTGTCATGGACTAGGCAGCAGGGCTTTGTGTGGCAGTTTGGTGAGTGGACCCCATGTTCTTATATTAATAAGGTCCCTCTGGAGTCTCTTCCACCCGTCCGGGTGTCCCTGTGAAGAGGGGCATCACTGCTTCACCCTGGCTACCAGAGAGGATAAGGCAGAAACAGGGCTCCTCGCTGCTGCTGGGGTGATGTCTGCCCCTCGGGTTCAGTGCTGAGGGCGCCCTGTCCCCTCACCACAAGGCAAATCAAAGACTCCTTTGGGGTGAGGCTGCTCCTCCTGTTTGCATCTAGGCTCTGGAGGCATTGATGTCAGGGCCTCCTTTGAACATCATGCTGAAGTTAGAGGGTAGAGGGGGGAGTGATGGGCTTCCTGGAGGAGGAGGCACACAAGAATACAGCCTTGGAGACAAGGCTCACACTCATAGCCAGACTCATGGAATCACCTCAGAGTCTGTGTGAAATTCAGGCTCGGGCTCCCACCATCAGAGATCCTGGAGTGTAGGCGCAGTCACAAAGTTGATTTCTCAAAACCTCTCTACGTAACTCGTAACTCGGATGCAAAGTCACAGGCCAGGCCTTTGTCTGAGCTTGGGGTCCTACCCAGGATGGGTGCTGGAACTTGACCCCAGGTGGGTAGGGGAATAGAGGGCTTCTGGGAGGCAGCTCGGCCGTGCTTTCTGTTCCCCTTCACTGTTTATAGTGAGGCAGGCTTTGCACCCGACTCCACCCAGGTTGAGCAAACCTGGACGGGGGCTCTCACTGTGTCTCAAGGTGAGTTCACCCAGACCTCAGCACTGTCTCTCCTGGGGTGAGGCTAGGCTGAGGTCAGCTCCACCCTCAGGGCTCAGTGGCATGGCTCTGTGGCCGTGTGATGGCTCACACACATCTGTCCAGCCTGGTTGACTCTCCCTGTGGATTTGCTAATGCAGCAAGATTAATTGGGCCTAACTCATTAATTTGCTGGGCCCTTTCCACTCCACCTGCCTCTAGGAAGCTCTGTCTTGGGAGCCTAGAAACCACAGCCTCTGAATGGGGCTCTCCCTACAAGCTCCAGGGGGGAAAAGCCCCAGTCACAAGCCAATGAGACCACTCTGGGGGAGGGACTGTAGTGGCCCTGAGACTGGGGCACATCCTCCCAAGGTGGTGGTGGCACAGGCCCCTCCGCCAGCTGGATGACTGCCCTTCAGGGCTACCACTGCCCAACTGGACAAGAGCTTCTGCAGGCCTGGGTGTCTCTGAGGAGACCTCCCCTCCCTCTCTCTGCCCTCTCTACCCTCCACCCTGTCCCGAGCACATTTCCATGGTAACCATGTGCTGGCGTAAATGGATTTGTCTACGTAGAGGTGGGAGCCTTGGCCGTTGTACTAAGCAGCCAGTGAGGACTTGTTCCAAGTCATCTGGAGTTTGAGGGCAGGTGAAGGGGAAGCAGCACAGCTGCCTTGCTGGGCCAGTTCGGGATCCATACTCTGTCATCCCCCTGATGGCCACTCACCAGACCCCACCCACAGAGAGGACATGTCCCTACTCTTTGGGGGCCTTCAGAGAAGCTAAAGTGATGGTGGGGACAGGCAAGTGTCCAGCAAGAAGGCTTCAAGCCCTCGCAAGCATCACAATTTTGGAACTCAGATGTTTTCCCTCTGAGGGCTGAGGACAGGAGACAAAGGAAACAGAGCCCAGCTCTCCTGGAGTCACCAGCATCCACCCAAGTTCTGCTTATGGTTCTGAAGCAAAATTGGGCAGGTATGGGAAGACCCTGCCATCTTGCAGGAGTTTCTCTGAGCCCAGGTGTCCTTGGCATCCTTTGGTCTGACCTAGCACCCAGTGCTAGCATTTACTGCCAGATGTCCATTCTGCCAGGACTCTGACCAGGGCAGACTCTGGGTACAGCTAGACTCTATGCAGGCCCCACTCTCCACGGCCTCATGCTGCTCCTGCCTCACCTGGGCATCCTGTGAACAGCTCTTGGCAAACAGGCCATTGATCTGCACAGGTTCACCGTGTTGCTGCCCCTCCCCCATGCCTGGCACCTCCGCACTGAGCAGTTAATTATCTGTCAACACTTGAAGAAGGGCTCCGTCCTCCAGCAAGCACTCTGCGGTGATGAATGATCCTGCACACGTCTGTCTGCAAGTCTTGCCATTGGCTCGGGGACAGCTGGCTGGGAGTCTGGCAACCAGAGCTGTGATTTAAACCCTGGCCAGGCTAGCTCCCTGAGTCCTGGTTTCCTCAGCTGTTGAGTGGTAGTGACGGTCCCATGTTATCGTGGTTGTGAGGCTGCAGGCCAGTCGTGAGGGTCAGGTCCTTGGAACCTGGCATGCTTGGCACCTGGATCATTGCCAAAACCTCCTAGCAATTCTGTGTTCTGAGGGGGAGGGGGGGAGAAGGGAGTCTCTTGCTGACATCTAAGGGTCACAGCTCAGGGACTTCCTAGTCCACAACCTGGAGAGGTGGACACAGGCACTTGGTCTGTGCATCCCCAGCCGTGGGCCCTGCAGCTGACACAGAGGCAGGCAATGGGAGAGGGGAGTCTCAGGTCCTTTGTGAAGCATTGCATCCTGATAGGCCACAGGCACAGACAAGCCCTTTGTCCTGGCCAGCTGGCCGCCTGTGAATGATTTCCAGATGAGGCCCCTCAGGTGCCACCCCTGTATCAGGGAGTCAGGGAGGATCCATGCAGCTCCAGACCTGAGGGGTGGAGGGACATTCTGATGAGAGAGATGGGGGCAGCCAAGGCTTCTCTGCAGAGGAGGGCATGGGGGAGGGGAGGCCTTCTGAATTACTGCGCTTGGCAGTGGCTGGACTAGGCAGGGATTTAGTGACCCTCTAGGGAGAATATGAAGACCTTCCAGTAAATTCTCCTTCTCCTCCTTCACCTCCCAGTCTCCTTGGCCTCTCTCCCTGCCCCCAAACCTGCCACCAGATGGAGAAAAGACCCCTGCAGGTTCACATGGATCTGGTGCCCCCAGACCCTAAGTCCTAGACCTGCTAGGCCAAGGAGGTGCCATGTCTGGGCTTGGCCCAATTTTACCCCTTGTCCCCAAGAGTCAGTGCCCAGCAAGGGCCAATTCAAAGTTCTCAGGGCAAACCAAGCTTCCATTTGGGTCTCA